TCTCCGACCAGCAGCAGCAGCAGCAAGACTGCCGCGAGATCGCCGACCTCGCCGTGTCTAAGTTCAAAAAGGTGATCTCCATCCTCAACCGCACCGGCCACGCCCGCTTCCGCCGCGGCCCGACCGGCCCGCCCCCGCCGGGTCGGCCGTCGCTTCCCGCAGCGTCGAAGACACTAACCCTCGCCCCGGTTCCGCTGCGGGTCAAGCCCCCTGACCACCCCCTCCCGTTGCCGACTCCCCAGGCCCTAACCCTGGACTTCACCAAACCGATCTTCGCCACCGCCGCAAGCGAGGTGTCACCCCCGAGCCGGTACAACAAGGGGTGCTTCAGTATCTCGAAGTCGTTGTCGTCGGCGACGTCTTCGTTCGTGTCATCCGTGACTGGCGACGGCAGCGTGTCGAACGGCAGGCTCGGGACCTCCTCTCTACTCCTCCCCCCCCAGCCCATCGTTGTCGGAAAGTCGCCTCTCTCGTCCGCCCTCCACCAGCGGGGCCACGAGCACACCCACGCCCACTCCGATCACGTCGCCGGCAAGTACGCCGTCCCCGGCTCCCGCTGCCACTGCTCCAAGAAAAGGTAAAACAAGAGACCATCGCAAATCCGAACGCCTACATCCGCGCACTCAAGCAAACCGACGCCGTAATTAGGCCCGACTCTTCATCTAACTCTTAACCTCTCATCACGCAGGAAATCTCGGGTTAAGCGGACGATACGCGTGCCGGCGATCAGCTCCAAGGTGGCCGATATCCCCGGCGACGAGTACTCGTGGCGCAAGTACGGGCAGAAGCCCATCAAGGGTTCCCCTTACCCTAGGTAACCATTCCTGCGCCTCCCCCGTCCTTCCGATCACCATCGGACGGTCGTGAATCGATCTAACGCTGTGTCTTTCCCCCACCCTCCGTTACCTTCAGGGGCTACTATAAATGCAGTACCGTCCGAGGCTGCCCCGCGAGGAAGCACGTGGAGCGGGCGCCGGATGACCCCTCGATGCTGATCGTGACCTACGAGGCGGAGCACCGCCACAACCCCACCGTCGCCGGCGCTTCGCCAAAACCCGCCGCCGCCGCCGCCGCAATCTGAGGTCGGCCTCCTCCTTCCTAGGTCTAATCCCGGCCGTTCACTGTTCCCTTTGATGATGTAAAATATGTTTTTATATTAACTAAGAAATTATAAATATAAAAAGATTTTGACTCCGAGTGTGTGGAGGGAGGGCGAAGAAGGTCTGCGCGGCCCGCTGTCTCCGTTGACTGGTGTCAACTGATAAGATCAGCGTTGTCTTGGTACAATTGTGGTGTGGCTTTCATGTGGTGGGGTGGGAGGTGGGGAAGCCAGGTGCAGGAACAGCAATTATTGATGGCGGTAGGTCAACTGTCTCGGATGTGGCTGGAGAAGAAGAAGCTGCAGTGACCAAGTGGTTGTGGGGGGGTGTAGGTGATGGATGACATACATAGTAGGTTCACTTTCATGTTGGAGTGGTTTGATACTTAAATTTTCATCCACCTATTGCTACAGTTTAGAGAACAAAACAATTATTATTACATGCAAATCAGCTCAAAAGTATTTAGGCTTAAACTATTAGCAGTAAACTTTGGATATATATTTATGATCCACTATGACTTGATGGCATCCTAAATTGTAGAAAAAAATGGTTCTCTGTGCTCTTTATTTGCTAGTGGATGCTCCACAGACTTGATGGCGGTTGGGAAGCGATAACGATGAAGGATGTGGAAGAGAATCCACTTCCCACTCCACCTCTTACCTTTTTAACGTGGAGGGCATGGTTTGGGTTTTCAACGGATGCCATCAAGTCTATATGTTAGCGTTATCCATGAATTCGTGTGCACCGCTGGTCCATTTGATTGGTAGGCATATCCTACTGAATGGATTAGTCCACATGTGACAATGCACGCAAATATAAATTTATGTCATAATCAATTAGGTCTGCTTGCTCGACTTAAAGTTACCGATTGTATAGAGAAGATATATTCTGTGGACATGAGTAGTGGTGGTGACCGAGTGAGAGAGAGAGTCCTCCTTGGAGCCTTTCAACTGGCGATCTGTCTCGTGCAGGATTCAGATGAATAATTCTGGGACCATAGTGACTGACAGCAAAAGACGGGTGCTACGAGACCGATGAAACCCATGCAATATTGGGTGGTTTGATGAGGGACATGTCAAAGGTAAGGTGAACGAACACACATTGTGTGGTGTTGTTTGATGGTGGGGATTGGGGTCACTGCCATTTCTGCCACCCGCTTGTTTGGTCAATCCGGAGATCGATGCCTGGATCAACCTTACCTTGTTCTGATAGCAAAGCTCGAAGAAATACTATTTAATTGTTTGCTTACCTACCACTTAGGCAATAATAATAAGAAGTCCCAAAACATGAACTCTTGGTGCCACAGTGATCCCATCACATGGGGGTGGTCCACTTCGATATTTAATGTGTGACCTATGCCTATGGAACAAAAACAATGGTCCTCGAAACTATTCGTCTCCTATTATTGTCCTTCCGTATGTGCTTAGAACTGTGTTGGGCTTCACAAATTTAGATTTTAGCGATCCTCACAATGAACTAAAGAAGCCATTGCCACCGAAGGAAGACTCCAAAAATGAGAAAAGAGAAGATGATTCGTATATAAAGACGTAGATATCAAGAGCACCAGAACTAGACACCATTATACGAAATTGTTGGTTCAAGTCACATCTCAAAAATTATCATTCTTGGGCGGGCTAATTAAATATTACAATTTATAGTTAGATTAGAATTTCGATTCATAGATCTAAAAATTATATATTGAAGTTATGAAAGTGAAACATATAGTTCCATTTATCCTAATGTCGTTGGGTTTACCAATATAAGCACGAAGATGATAAGTAGAAAGATAATTTCAACGTCTCAGTTACGCTTTTGATGGTGAAAAACGACAACGCCACTGGGGTCATGAGCGATTATTATAGATGAAGAAAAATATCGACGAGATGTGAGGTAAAGGGAGAGGAGGAAAAGGACGATGTAGATGTCGACGCTCTTCAACTACGTCGACATCGATATAGATGCCGAATAACATTGCTTTTCCATGCATCGTTATCGACGTCGACATAAATGCTGAGCGATACTCTATGTGTTCATCTATGTTAGTACCGATGCAAATGCCAAATGACCCATTCGTTGCTCCATATCTACGTCGACGCTAATGCAGTTACCAAGTGACGTCGACGTAGATATAGAGCATCGACATCTGCGTTATCCTCTTCCTCCTCCCCCCTTCACCTCACCTTTCGTCGTAACTCTTGCTTCTCATCCACAATAATTCCTCGTGGCCCCCCAACAATGCTGTCATTCGTCATCATCGAAAACATAACTAGGACGTTGAAATTATATTTTTATTCATTATTTTCATATTTTCATTAATAAAACTAACGACATTTACTCTAGTAAATGAAACTAGATGTTTCACTTTTATAATTATAAAAATTTTAATATAGATTTTTTAAGTTTAAAAATCAAGATATTAAAATGGTCTAACTACATAGGCTAATATCTAATTTGCCCTCCTCCTATCAAATAAAGGAAAAATAAGAACTACTTGTAGCTTACCAAAATTTCTCTTTTGCCCATGGGATATAAATGTAAGTTACATCAAACTCACGGTGCTCTTGACATGGTATTTAATGTTTTCAGAACATTTTATCCAATAAATGAAAAAACACGCATCACTAGTACACAAAAGAGTATTTTGGTCTAAAAAGATAAATCAAAGGGCGTGTCAACGGAAGCAGGCCACCTCATTGTGTGTAAACTAAAAATTCTATATATATATATATATATATATATATATATAGGGTTGTGGAATTTACAGGAAGGTTTTTAGCAGGCAGATTTGTTCTTCAGAAAGGGGACCGAGCAAGATGCTAAATTACGCTAAGATCCAAATTGTTGCAAGCTGAAATGATGAAAATGGCTATATTAGACCTGCAAATCTATAAGCAGTACAAAACTATAACACACATTAAATGATATAGTCATTGTGATTGAGGCACCAGAAACGCTTTAAAAACTGAAGTACTTCAAAGCGAGTAATAAAAGAACTTTCCTACTCCTACTCATATGATATATCATTCGAAAAAGATGATTTAGTGCATGCTGCTTCAACTAATGTCAGATATAATCTCTAGCTTTATAAATAAAAATAAAAATAAAAATAAAAATTCGAGCCATGTCAGGAAGAATTATATAATGTGCTCCCAAGTTACATAATCCTTAAATCCAACAATTTCGCCAGTGTTGCGAGTGCTTAATTTTCAGATTCAAGAGTGCAAATCGTGCAAGTAATCAGAAGTAATTCCTTCGAGATGGATGGATAGTTATGAACAAATGCATCATACTTCACTAATAAAAGACTAACCTGAGAGATTCCAGTCTTTTCATCTCTGTGGCGTCTTCATCCTGCAGACCATACTACACCTCGCGAATAGTCCTGCAACAGCTCCCATATCATAGTAGAGTGCAAAGAAATTGAAGGATTAAAAGTTAAAAATACAGACAAGCGAATCATGAAAATCAACTTCCATATCACACATCAGAACCCAAATGCAAAAAATTCATGGAGATCATAACTTGTGAAAGTGATACTCCAGAAGATGCTCTTAGGAGATGGGATCAAAACTAGCACACTGTCATGTCACAGCTCATAATTCATATACAGTAACTAATTGACGGTAGAGCGTGCAACTGTATGCATTCTGTAGGAAAAAAATAGAATTATGTAGAAAAAATTGACAAATGATGAATAGTCAATATACCATTTTCGGTCACTGAAGGAAAACAATAAATAGAGGAGAAAAAATTGGAAGCTTTTGCATAAAGCGCAGGACCAAATTCCCGGATCCATGCACTAAAAACTAGCACCAACGCAAGTGCTGGCCCTGATTACACTATAACTGGCTTGGAACAGCACACTGGAAGAACCAGCAACATCGTCTAGGAAAAATTGCAGTTGCAAGTCTTGGATTGAAGATGATGGATGTAATTGTCCCTAATTTCCACCCTTCTGTTTGAGAGTGATCTTGTCTCCTAAACTGAGAGCAATTCCTTGTGTCTTGCTCCTTATCCTAATATAACCACTCAGCTTCCCATCAGTCTGCTTCTCAACACTTATATTGACCAAAGCATCCTCTCCAAAGACACTCTTTGCGTAGAGGTTAGCAGCAAGAAACCCACACTCCCCATCCAGCGCAGAGCTGAAACCAACATCATCAAAGAACAACATGGTGACTGATATTGGTCGATGCTGATGATAAAAAAGGTTCCACTAGAACTGACTATGCAATGATAACCAGATGCTCTTTCTATACAAATATATGCAGGGGAAAGTAATAGTTAAGTGGCTTGAGGACTCACGGTGGTGTGAGGCACTTCATGTTTGTTGACTTGATAATGTGATTCAAAAATTCCTTCTCATCCTGTATTAAAGAATTCACCGCAACCTGAAACACAGTAACAAAGGTAAAGATAATTTGTAGGTAGTGATTCTCAACGGTGCTAAAATGTGCTCATGGTGGCATGATTATGCAGAAGACATCAGAAAAAAAATAGGGCATTAGATTTGATGAAAAATGCAAGCAGATTTGGATTAGATGATGCATCATGTTCTTGAGAAGAGGGATACACATATGTCCTCTCATTCATTATCATTTTAACCAGAAGTGAAAATCATAGTATGCTATCCCTTGGAATAAAAATCATCAATCATATTCTCAAAAGACTCGATTAAACACACATGCAGAGTAATGAACAACAAACAATTAACAGAAATTGGAAAAGTGCCTCCTTGCAAATTACTTAAAAGTACAAAAATATTCAACTCGATTTCATGTATGAGTGGAAAATGAGAAAAAAGGGATACAAAAAAGCAACACCGTTTAACAAAAGTCACTGCTCTGCTGCTTTAGCAATGATGGTCAAATTATTGAACAATAAATAAAGAAATTAATATTGAGGGGTTGAATAGCCTCTCAAAGTTACACAAATAAAATATCAAAGATTAGAAGACTCAGCTTGTCCATCATGTCACAATCATAGCCTCAGCAGAGATCAAGGTTTCAAGTCAGCTTTAAGAAAAAGTTGATCAATGCTGTATATAATTAACATGTGTGTGCTACCAAATTCTCAACATAATCAGTTATTAGAAATGCATCCCCTAACATAGATATTTATGATGTAATATCAAGATTTGTTTACACAAATAAAGCGCAAGTACATATTGCATAAGTTTTATTGTGATATAATAATCTGTTAAACAACTAGTTAAATACATGTTTCCAGTTTCCACTATATCAGACACTAATTAGTGAACTTTATACCATGTTATGTCAATCATGCAGATTGTAGACATGTTTTAGAAATCAGTAATATACACTTCAAAAAAAAAGAAAGAAAAAGAAAGAATACCTTATTTTCCCACTCAAATTCTGCCCACATATTCCTAAATGTCACATCAGCACAGGTAGCAGGAGATATGTAGTCCATGATATCAATGTGAATATCATTGAGGACAACAACAGTTCTCTCGAGCACATTTGAAGTTTCATATACAATATTACCAAATATCACACCAGTTTCTGTTGAGGAGACTTTTATATTAGCTCGTATTTGTTTGCTTGATTCTGGAGCGAGAGTATAGTTCTGTGGTCGGTCAACAAGTTTGAGGTCTCCCATGGTTGCTAATTCCAAACACAGGTTCTGAAGTGTTTCCTTTGTTCGGTTAATCACTGTGACGTCTAGAACTATGTCATAATGATGAACTGTGACAAATGCCTCAGCATACACAGGATCACTGAATCCAGTGAGTTGAAGAATTCGATTCAACTTATTTGCATCATCTCCATCCCTCATAAATTCGCCAGTTGCACGTTTCAGATCATCTTGAACCTCATCCTCCAACTCAAGCTGGCTCATACCCTGTAAATTTTAACACCAAAAGAGGTTAATAGAAATGAAATTCTTTATGACTGCAGTAGCTTAAAAATAGTTAATGCAACATAGCATCAAAATAACAGACAAATAACACTTATAATGCTGTTCAGATATAGCCCAATTAAAATATCCTGCAGCAACATGAACAAAAAAAATTCACAAAAGCCACGTTATACAAGTTCAAGTAAAACTGGAGACAGTGAGGAGAAAAGAGAGTTGTAAATCAAGTTTTAACTTCGTATATATGGAACGATATTATCAATCATCACGAGTCACCTAAAAAGCAATTCAAAGAAATATTAGTATGTAGATATGTCAACTCATCTTGACTCTCATATGTAACCAAGTATCAGAGACAGCTGCCTTTTGTTTTGTTTTGACTATGAGAAATCTATAAAACTAAAGATGTAACTACAGATGTTCTTAAAAGACAAGTCTGGAAGACCATAGAATGTATGATCGGTTCTATTGATGCACAATAGTTTAGAAAAAGAGGAAGATAAAACTCATAAGTCATAACAATGACAATAATAGCTAGAAAACAAATCAACAATTGAGAACTTTTTTTCTTGAAGATCAAAAGCACGTCACGCTTCTATATGCCCACATGATAAATATAAAGGAACTATGATTGTTAATAACTCGTTAATGTGACCAAGAATTTATTCTTTCCCATCTGATTGCAAGCAGCCGTATCCACTTTGTGAATCATATGGACACCAACCAAAATGACATGACTGAAATGAGTATCCACTAAAAATGACATGACTGAAATGAGTATCCACTAAAATTGACATGACTGAAATGAGTATCCACTAAAAATGACATGACTCACACACATTGGCTTAATGAGTACCAAAAATGTCCATATTTTTCGACAACAATTCTGCTGAAATTAGCTTGTGTTTTGAGGCCAACAATAGCTAGAAGAGATACTTATTAACATTGAACTTTATCTCCTCCACTCGGAAGAGGATAGTCACTTACTGTCCTTCAACGTTATGCTAGTTCTATAAAAAGCCTTAGCAGTAGCATTTTCACAAATACTATCCATGTATCAAACAGCAAGCATTTAGGTCCCGATGGTAGCAAATTAGCCACTGAATAATATATAGAACATAAAAGAATAAAAAATGGGACTTAAAAAGCTAAATAATACATTTGCAATGTAAGTCACAACGATACCGAGCTCACATGACAGTACATGGGTATACAAAAAATTGGAACTATGAATCCATTCCATTTCAATGAAAACTTAAAAACCCACAATTTTCTCTTTGAAGTCCTTGACTAGCAGTTTTTAGACCAAAAGTTTCCATGCCCTAATATCAAACTAGAACTCTTTTTGTGCTAAAAGCATATACAATTATTTGTCATTAGTTCCTTGCAATCATCATTCATGTTTAAACATTTGCATTAATACATGAAGTGAAACATGTCATGGTCGGATTGTCAGAGAATCCCGTCAAGAGGAAGTTCTTGGGAACCACTAAATAAATACCAGTTTCATGATGATTAAAAATTTATATTGTGTGAAGAACAAAAGAATGAACTAATGTAAGCGCTCAGTAGTTGCCGATTGGGTAACTCCATTAACAGAAAGATAACAGTACTCCTTACCTTTCTATTCTTCAAATGGTAGAAATCAATAAGATCATCAGGTTGTGCATGGGAAATCTGTGCCTTAGCTTTAATCTCCTCAGCCTCTCGAAATTGCTTCTCTGCAAGCATCTTTGCAAAACTCTGGCGGCATGACTGCAACCATATTTTCCTAACCTCATCACCAGTGTTGCAGAGCAATCTTATGCATAGGACAATCCTGTCATGAGAATCATTATCAATCGGCTGTGGAAAAAATGAAGATTGTCCCAACTGCAACATGGAAGTCATGATCAGCAAGGCCCCACTGCATGCTTTGTTTGCTTCAGCCTTTGACGGCTGAACCTGTTCCAATCTCAAAACCAGCTTAGTCAAGGTGCAAGCAACAACTGCCCCCACAAAGAAGTCACCAGACAGAATCAATGACCTCAAATTTAATGATGAAGCCAAAGATCCAGGAAGAACCATTGGAGCAGACAAAGCAGTTTCAGAGGCAGCACTTTGCGTTGCATAGGTCCCATCTGCCAAAACCACAGGCCGTCTAGAAGAAAGAGTGGCAGTTGATACCTGCTGTGGTTTCTTTGAAGCATCTGCTGCTTCACCATCCTCAGTGGCAACATAAAAGGGAAGATCTCCAAGGAACTGCTTAATTGTCTGGATCCCACTCTCCACCTCAGAGAGCGAAAGGCAATACTCACCAATGATCCAAAGAGCACACGAGCAAACTCTCGCAGTGCAGATCTGATAAAATGTGTCGAGCAGTCTGGTGATAATGGAAACCCTTAGCTTTGGGTTGGCCTCAATTATCTCTCTGACAAAGAGAATCACATCAATAGAAGAAGCCACATTGGTATCACCGAGGAAATCCATCAGCAGATGGACAACTGTGCTAGCAACCTCAGGGAACTTGATTGCACACAAATGGATAGCCTGCACCAGCATCTGCCGGTATTCCCCATTCTTCTCAAGCTCAGTGCTCTGTGTCTTGACGACCTCTTTCTTAAGCATGAGCACCACCTCATCAACGTTCCTGGACGTGATCAGATCGAGGGCAATGTCGAGAGTCTTGCGCCTGATGTCAAGATTTGGGCTTGAAAGCGCACGAAGAACATCCATGATCATCTCCACCATGATCTCCCTGTGCAACAACTTGAGCTCGTTGAGACGGTCGAGCACAATGAGCTTCACATTGTTGTCACTCTGTGAGACGAGGAGCTGGCAGTAGGTGTTGGCAGCTGCACGGATGGCGGTCGGGGCAGATGACAATGAGACAAGCGTCCCGGCACTCTCATAGACGACCGCAGCAGACGGGGAATTGAGAAGGGAGATGATGATCTTGATGTACTTGCCCTTCTCGGAAGGGTTGGAGCGGCAGACCTTGCGGATGAGGTCGAGGGCGGCCATTTGGAGGAGTTCGCCCCACTCGGGGACGTGGTCGGCCTGTGAGAGGAGGTGCACAACGGCGCGCGTCTGGGCGCAGGTGGCAAGCATGAGGAAGGCGTTGCGGCGTGCGGAGGGGTCCTGCTCGGAGGCGAGAACCTTCTCGACGAGCTCGGAGGCGTCGGGAAGGAGCTGCTCACCGGCCTGGCCGGGGAGGCGGTGGATGGCTGCGACGGCGAGGAGGGCGTGGCGGCGGACGAAGGGGTGGCGGTGCTCGAGATTGGCGAGGACGGATGGGACAAGCGGCTCCAGGATCTCTGGCTCGGACAAGCGGCAGAGGAACCGGAGGGTGACGCCGCGGATGTACTCGTTGGCGTGCTGCAGGTTGTTGCGGAGGTTCTGGCATATGAGGATCATCTCGGGGAGGACGCGGCCGCGGGCGTCGGTCTTGTCGATGATCTCCAGGTAGAGGAGGAGCAACTTCTGCACGGTGTGGTCGTCGGAGGGGAGGACATAGCGGACGATGGTGATGAAGATCTGCGGGAGCGTCTCACCGTTGACAAGGAGCATGACGGCCTTCTTCATGGCATCGATCTTGGCCTCAACGTCGCTGCCCTCGAGGGCCTCCTTGATCTCGTTCGCCATGGCCGGGGAGCCCTTATCGAAGTGGACCAGGATCGAGCACGATTTCTCCATCTCGGCGCCCCTCTTGCAAGAACCCTGGATCTGGATCGAAGAACAGGCAGGGAATCGAAGATAGTGAGGGAATTCGAAGGGATCCGAAGGAGGAGTACGAGATCTGGAACGGGGGTCGAGGGATTTGGAGGTAGACGAAGAGGGGGGAACGCTTCAGACTGCGTTTTTATTGAGGCGAAAGACTACACCGCAATCGTTCGGATTGGACTCGGGTTCTAACCGCAGCGAGCGTACAAATCGATGAGTTCGGGTCTGCCCAAGCATATAATTCACTCATCGCATCATTAAGCTATCACACCACATCTAACAAGCTTATAATGCACAGTTGAATACATTATAGTTTGCGGTACTAAAAGCATGACCACAATTATATAGGCTTTCTCAGTTTTTTTCTTCCTTTTTCTCCACATATTCTACTAACATTGCAGACCTCCAACTTACCAAAGCCTGGAAGTAAAAGAGGAGGAGGAGAAAGGAAGCCTTTTAATAGCACTCAGCCCAACCTTCTTCCATGGCCATGGCTCTGGCGCGCATCGCAGCACCTGCGAGCCGAGTCGAGGCTCGAACGATGAGCTCCACAGGCACGCCCGAAGCCGCCCTGGAGCTCCTCAGCATCGCCTCCTCCCGCGTGCCGCCCCCTCTCCACCCGCGCCTCCTCGCGGCGAGCCACGGCGCCGCCTCCAAGCTCACCCTCGAGCGCGTCTCCGCCGTTCCCCGGCACGCCCTTCTCAGACGCCCCACAGCAGCGGGCACCGCTTCCGCGACGCGCCGCCTCCCCAGACCGGCACGCCCGCCCCTTCTCGCCAGAACCCCCTCCGCACTCGCCTGCCCCCGCCGCCCGGCCGACGCGGCCGCGATCGACTCCGCGGTGGAGATGCAGGAGACCGATTCCGAGTCGTCAGAGAATCCGGACCCAGCGGGGCCACAGGCGCTGCACAGGGAGCGGACCGGAGGAGACCCAGCGCCGGCGAGGAGGCGGTCCTCGTCGAGGGCGCCGCACCCGGCGCAGGCGACGCGCCGGAGGTGGCGCGCGACGAGGAAGTTCGCGCCGTGCACGCGGGCGTCGCATGCCCAGCAGAGGAACGCCGCGTCCGCCTCGCAGTGCACGGCGGCCGCACCGCCGCAGAGCTCGCAGCCCCTCCACCTCGCAGCCTTCATCCCTCCTGCCGCTAGATGGCCTCTTTGCAGCACCTTCTTATAAAGTAGAATTAGAAGCAGTGGAGTTGGCTGAGATATTTTGGGGGGCGTCGAATTAACTATTCTTATTGTGGCTATTAAGCCGTGAGATGATGACGACAGGGGAATATAAATGGAGGAAATCTTTTGCTTTGAGCTGATTGATTCTGATTCAAGTATTCCTTTGGACGCAACCGCTCAATTTGTGTTCATTCTTGGCCACAAATGAAATGCAAATGATGTGCTCTAATTACATTTTTCCTTGGGATTCTAAGAGTTGTGGTTGAGACACATTTAGATTTTTCATAGATATGGACCAAATCTTGCTTTTGCCGAGGTGGCAGAGCACATCCTGTGAGGGCTTATCAGAAAAATACAATAAAGAATGAGAGGATAGAGATGAAGATTCCAAAGCTGTATAATTTCCAACTCCATGTTTCTAATCTATATTTGAGAAGAAAAAAAAAATGCACACAATCAATAAATTTGAGAACAGGAAATTTCTAATCTATATTTGCAGAAATTAATGATTGACATCTAATTAAACATTAGCTTGTCAACAAGAAACAGCTAAAAACAGAGAAAATTTTCATATGATTGAGCTTCCAAGAGAGAAGCAGCATGATCAACATATGAACTGGTCAAGCAAACAGATCAATCAAACACTGACAGGTTATTTGGCGGAGGGGTGGAAGGAGTTGGAAGGCATTGCCACACCTGTGTGGCCATAGTTATGCCTCTTGTGTGAGACTAAAACACCTTGTGGCCCAAGAATTTGTATATATAAAGTGAGGAGCTCAACATCATGGTAGAAGAGTATAGTTTGGATAAGAAATCCTCCTCTATTTCTCAACAACCAAGTAGCAGAATCAGGCTGTCATAGATATATAGATTTGGCAAATCTATGGCCCTTGACATGTATGCAAAAACAAGAGGTGGCAGGCAAACCACTTTGAACTAATTGCAGCCTCAAGTACTAGGCAAACACAACCACAATAACATTCATGATTCTAGTTACATACCTGAGGCTCAAGAAAGAGCCAGCTCAAAGCAGGTGGCAGGTCTTGATGCCAATGAAGTTTGACAGCTCAACCACAAGCAGGACATCAGATCACAAGCTTCTTGTTGAGTTCAAAACTCGTGGATATTAGGGCTGTAATTCAGATTCTTGATCTCATCGACTCGATAGTTCTTTATCACAAGCAGACAGACCATAAAACTCATATCAGTACAAAACGAATGGGCATTAGAGTTATTAAAGAGGGTTCTTGTCTAAGTTCTGTAAGAAAACACACCTATGATGACAGAGGCAAACTTGTGGTAGTCGGCAAATGACAACACAATCATGCTTTCACAGCTAATAACTCCACTCTCCGATGACAGTAAAGCGGACATCCTCTGATTCATTCATCAGTTGGTCGATCATGCAGCTTGAGTTTGAAGGATCAAGTGGAGAACTAAGGCATCACTTGCCATGATTACTAGTATTTTTATGGCAGGCCTTGCCAAGGTACAGGAACAAAATTAAGCAACTGGCAATGAGTGTTTTGAAATGGTCATAAGACAGAATGTTGGCACCAAATTTATCATATAAAACATTAATCCCTGCTAAAAAATATGAAATTTCCGAAAATAATATTGAAATATGAGAATGGAAGGCCTTCATTAGATTCAGAAGGATTTCATGTTAGATTTATGAGGAATGCTGACTAGGAAAAGCCGCAGAACTTGGGAGAGGAAGCTCAATTAATATAATAGATTTTAAATCAAAAAAGAAAGCAAGAAGTGGTCACAGTTTGATATAGATCAGATATAGATCATAATATCCAGATTACAAACAATGCAATTAAACTGGTTACCACATTGTATAGTAGTAAATACAGAGCCAGCGTAAACTAGGGCTATGTTAACAACACTTTGAACGTTGAAAATCCTTAGAAGTTGATTGTAGAACCCACGACTTATCCATTGTTCAAAAAGTTGATCCATTGAAGCCAAAGAAGGAACGCTGTGAAACAAAAACAATAATATAATAAATCAGAACTAAACCACTAAGATATAGAAATTACAGTCAACTCTGAATTTTGGGCTAAAAACTAGGAGATTTTACTTGAGCGGTGTATATGTTTATGGGCAAAATAATCATATATATGGAAGCAACATTATAATAAAAACTAAAAAAAATATAACAGACCAACATGATGTTTAACAAAAAAAATATATACACAAAAATAGCAATTTAAGAGAACATAATCCACAGTAAATATTTTTCACCAGAAGCATTAGGCAAATGAAGGTGAATATGTTTTCACTGTTCCCAACATGTCCATGCTTATCTGTCCACATTGCAAGAACATTTAATATGCTTTTGAGTTTTGATACACGTAGAAGATTTGTGTTCTTACCTTTCAATATTTCTTGCAACTGTTTATTTTGCAACTCCTATTTATTTCTCCAATCAACACATATTTCCTATATAATCTCATTTTCTGTACTCACAACTAGCTCAGTTTATCAACAACCATTATGTAGTTTGCAAAAGATGTATTTTCTGTGGGAGCATCTCAATGCAAGCTTATGGGAAAAATAAAAGAAAACAATTCCAGGAAACAACAAAGAAGTAAGCAAAAATAGTTGAGCAAAGAAGCACAAATCAGTAGCTTACCTGTACATCATAGAACTTGATGTAAAACCTCGAACTATCCACTGAGAGTTTTGCTTCAAGAATCTCAGCAAGTGCAGAACTTAGCTTTGCATTGACACTAGGTCCAAGGCCACCAATCGATATGACTTCTCCGTATGCTGCCGGTTCTTCACTTCCAGCAAATGCAATAGGAACTCCTCCGTTTATCAGAATCATCACATACTGAGCTTGCAAAAAACAATAAGTATAGACAGAATTATGCATTGCAAAGGCAAAAAAGAAGTGAAGTAAAAGGAAATGCTGCTTGCTCTAAAACACTATACCACCTGAAAACCTATCTTCATTGCTATTCTTGCTATTAACAAGAAAATTTAAGTTGATTGCAATAAGTAAAAATATGAAATGCATCTTAGCATGCAACATTTCAACTTGTCAATGGCTTAAGAAACAAGGGAAAAGGCAACATATATAAATTTTAGGAACACTAAGACTACAATGCTACTACCGAAAGAATTTTCCACAATATGCCTCCCAATGATTCACACCACTTGGCACGATAAGAGCTTCAGTGTGCACCCGAATAATCGAACTAATCATGACTACCTATGAAGGAAACTGCATCACCGTGAACAGTGTTCCCACTACAACATAACCACAAACCACATCGCATATATGCACGAAACCAAAAGGAAGGCATCAAGAACGTCCGCCGTCAGAGGAATTTCATCGAACAACTGGTGGTACGAAAACTGAGATGGGAGTTCTCACGGACTCAGGCTTGCCAATGATCTTGGCCACGATTCTGGTGCAGTCCTTGAGGATGTCGGAGGCGACCACCGCGTCCACCGGCACGTTCGTGCTCACGTTCAAGGTTGGCATGGCGGATCCAATTGCTCGCTTATCGAAAGGAGAAGCAACATATAGATAAATAGACACACACAGCGGAATTGTGGATAAGATGCGGACGGTATGCGCGCGCAGATATCGATGGACAGTCGGATCGGGTTTCACCAACCCCGTTGCGGATCCGAGAAGGATTCCATCCGGGTTCAGAGTCACAGTAGCGGGTCGGATCGGGTCCAGTTTTGCACAAACCTGATGCATTACAATTACATCAAATTATAATATATATATATATATATATATATATATATATATATATATATATATATATATATATATATATATATATATATATATATATATATATATATATATATATATATATATATATATATATGTATGTGTGTGTGTGTATGTGTGTGTGTGTGTGTGTGTGTGTGTGTGTGTGTGTGTGT